ATCAGGCCTTGTGGCTTTTGCATGACGAGAGGGTCAAGAAGTGTGAAATGCTGCATAGGGGCAAGACAAGCTCATTTGCATGAATCCCACAGAGCAGCTGTGAAACCCTTAATCTATCTGGACCATTTCTACCCTGTCTTGTTCCTCACCCACTCTTCAGCAGCCTCTCTGTGGTAAGTGCCTCCAAACTGTCTTCTGCCCTTTCAGAATGAAATTCAGAGCACGTTGCACAAATGGGAAGAATGTGAGAAAAGTATCTGTTGATGGTGTATGCTGTAGGGTTTCCTGTCAGTCCCAGGTCTTTAAATGTGTTTTCTATCTTGGAGTTGCAGGCACTGCTCCTGTCTTCAGTTTATTACACTTCTCACTCTGACTGATACACAAATTGGTTAATGTCTGTACAAGTCTTTGAAGATGTAAAATGCAGTAAAATTCCCTGATGTTATTACTTAATTTCTTGCTCATTTTTTCTGGTTCTTTTTAGTCTTTCTCCTGTCTGGTGGTTTTTGGACTTATATTTTCTGATCTCATTTTCTTTTCATTCATTCATTCCCCTGCTGCTTGTTGTTTTAATTAATCAGAAGGGCAGTCTGCATACCCTTTTCTACCCCCTCTCTAACACATCCTCTCACTCTTCCTTTTACTCTACATTTCCTTTGCTGTCCTTGCTGCCTAAAAGAACTGCTTTCCCCTTTGCTTCTTACTTCCTTCTGCTCTGCTATATGTTCATCACTAACATAGAGAGAAGTCTGGCTGTCAGCAGCTTAGGCCAGTTCCATAGCCAGATGGTTTGTGGAGGCTTGCCAGTCAAAACACTGCCCACAGTTAAACTGGATCTGCACTCAGATTGAGAAGGAGGGGTGCCACAGACTTCATTGTGGATGATGTGCTGCAACTTTTGGCTCAGCCAACACAAGTTTGCTCACTTGGCTGCCTCATGACATCCCAGAGCATGACTCCTGGAAGAATAATCCTTGAGGTACATATTTATTTAGTCATTGCAAATGTACTGCATGAGCTGGTCTGGATCTGCAAGGGTTTGTAAAACCAGTATAATAACTTTTTTATGATCAGGGCAGACCCTAGATGGAGAGGTGTTCCTGATGTTGCACCATCTTACTCATACAGCTACCACTTGATTTGAGAGGACATTTATGGCAAAGGAATGAAACAGTGTTTGCAGTGATGTGTTAGCAGTCAACTTTCATTTAATATTCGGGTCTTTATTATAACCCTTGAACATTTTAACTAAACACAATTATTGGTTCACCAGCATAATACCTTAAAATCAAGCTCCTACAGACTTGACAGCAGAGGTTATTTGATTTGCTGTGTGACTGGCCCAGATCCTCAAAAGTACTTAATTGTTTAACTCCCACTGAAATCAGTCGATAGTACCCGTAAGGACCTGATCCTCAGTCTGTTCATGTCTATAAAATGAGCACAATGTTACCTATGATGATGATGCTTCAATGAAAGTACCATAAAGCTGTGAATTGTGTTCATTATTTACTTACCTTTGTATTTGCATTCTCAGCTTCACATAAAACATATTATTTTGGAGTGGAGAAATGCTGTACATTTGTACCTGGATCCTGCATGATGGCCAATGCATTCTGCTGAAAGCACTTTCAGCTCCCATTCCCTTCAGTAGGATTTGAGTGTCTGGCACCTCAAAGGAAGATACCCAAGTTCGTATTCCAAAAGCCATTTTGATTTGGAAAACATTTTTGACATGGCACAGTAATGTAGCTCTCTGTTGACTTGTGACATTTTATGTACACACTGATTTTATATATATATAAACTCACTGATTTTATATATATAAAATATATAAAAGGCAAATTATATATATAATTCACCTTTTTATTAAGGTGCTGGAATTGTAATAGCTAATAGATATCATTCAGCTAAATGTGATATTGGCCACTGATGTTGCTTTTGTTTATTGAAGTTTTCCCTGCCCCTTACAATAAAAAGGACCAGAGAAATCTTAAGATGTGATTAACCAGTTAATCATAACTTAAGTTGTAAGCTGGTCACACACTAAAGCAATTAATAGCATAATAAAACAATGAATAAGCCATAAAGTTATTCCACAAAAAATGTTTAATAACTTTGTGGCTGGTTCCTATCATGCAATTAACTGAACATGTAGTTTGGTCCACCCCCATGGTTGGGACCCCTGCCAGCTCTTCCAGACTGCCAGCCATGGAGGTGCACTCTGCACTCCCGTGCTTGGCAGCGCCATCAGCTGATTTGGGCTCCCAGTGGTGAGAGTACACTATGTGTCCCTGAGACCAAGAGTCCACATCTGACTAGGCTCTCAGCCAGCACTACTTGCTGGTGCAGGGGGAGCCTGGGACCGTGATCCTGGTCTCCCTCTGCACCAGTAATAAGGTGTGATGGGATCTAATGCTGCCCAATCCCACAATCGTGCATCTTGCCATGCATGTGTGATATGGTAGGAAGCATGATTGTGTGGATCATGGATCAGATCCCATTGCATCTTTACCTGCATGTCTGGCAGGGGTCTCTGCATGCATAGAGAAAAATATCCGAAGAACCTTGTTTTCCTAGTGAAAACTAAACAATTTATTAGATGCTAAATTTATTTTATTTGGTATTTGAATTTATTTTGGGCTAAGTTCATTTAGAATGAATATTCAGCTTAGCCTCAACTCAGAAGAGTATCCACATTCAAGAAATATGTTTAAATCTTGCTTAAATCAATCAGGCTTAATTTTAAACATTTGCTTAATTGTCCTGTGTGAAAAGGTATGTTTTCCAGGATGAGGATCCAACTGAAGTTTTTACTTCTTGAATGAAGGCCCTCTTGTGGGCTATTGCAACCTGATTTCCAAACAGGTACTTTTCATGACATGCAGGCTGTTTCAATGGGAGGCAAAACAATCCAGTGCATAGGACTCTGGAGTCATAAAACTTCCATTCTGTGTGTGTGCTGCAGGAGTTCCCCCTCTCCCGCTCTTTTTCAAGCCTCCTCTTTCTTTTCTTGCCTTTGAACTGTTACCCCATTGATTACACTTTAAACTCTTTGAGGCAAAGATCTTATCTTTTTATATGTTTATAAAGAGCCATTTACACTTGCTGCAGATTTGAAATATTCTATCTGCTCTGGACAAGTATGTTTTTGACAGGATCCTGAAATAGTATTAGGATTTTTTTTCCACATCATCATTATCCCTATCCTCCTGATAAGGATTGGCAAGTAAGTTTTGTGATTGGGCTTATGAATTTTCATGACAGTTTTATGAGGCTGCATTTGTGACACCATAAAAACAATAAATAATAACTCTAATTTCAAGAGGGACACATTTATCATCTTATAGTACAACATGGTAATGTTGTAGATTTGCTTCCGGATGTTTATTGCATGTATTTTTCATCTCCTCATATGTTCTTATGTTGAGATAATTTTTTCTGGATTATTTTTCTGGGCAGTGTTTGTTTTTTCTCTTGGGCTTTGCACCCCTGACTTACTAGCATTTTAAACTGCTTTGCGACACCCAGATAAGTAGTGGGGGGGGCACCATTTAAAAAAAAAACAACTAACCAAAAGAAACCTTCTTTATTCCACCCTCCCACCCCTGCATACGTGAGCCTCCATTACAGATGTTCTCAACCTTTTTAAACTCAAGGCACCCCTCAAGAAATGCCAGTTTTTGGCTTTCACTCATTTTTAGACTATGAAAAAATCGCAGGGCAATTCTTCTGTTGCAAAGAACTCAGAAAGACCAGAGCAGGTCAGAATGGTTTTGACACCATAGATCCTGTTTAAAATCTCTGGGTTTATCTTGTGAATCATGTAGAGGTGTTTGCACACCTAACAGTGCTCATATTGCATAGCACCCTTAAGATGATCTCAAAGTACTCACAGCAACCTGGTTGAGACTCACTGCTCTATTACATCATAACTCCTCTCCCCATAGTAAGTGCTTAATACAGCCCATGTTTGTCTACACACTTAACATTTGAAACTTTTCAAACAGTTTTGAAACACTTTTGAAATACTTCATAGGCTAGTGTACACTATATAGTACATAATATATAATATTTCAAAAATGAAGTGGAATAAAATACTGAAAGAGTAAAAAAATATTTCTAGAGGGAGCAGATTCTGTTTTGTACCATTTTGTTCCACCGTTTTGTACATTAAGTCAGTCCTTCCACAGTACAGTGCTCTCTCTTTCCATACACAAAGTCCAGACATCTTTGCTGCTGCTGCCCCCAGGCTCAAATCACTTTGGCCTCTGCAGGATAATGACCAAGGTGCGGGTGCTCAGGGAATGTCATTTAGCAAGGTAGAATCTGGGACCCAAGGCCAGGGTCCTGGGTGGAAGAGCCAGAATCAGGAACCAAATAGGGAGCCAGATCCAGTAGCTGGTTAAGAATCCAAATGTCAAGCCAAAAAGCAGGGTTAAATGCAGTTTCCATCCAGGCAGGAAACATGGCATAGCAGTTTTTACCTAGACACCTCACTCCTATCTGCTATGGCCTTAAAAAGTTTGTGCAGGCAGGGCCCCCTTCTTGCAACCTTGGGGAATGATTCAGCCTAACTACTTCCAGCTGGGGCAATGCTAGAGGACTGTTTTATGCTTTCTCTCAGAAGAGGATATGTACAGACATTCACTATTGTAGAAGAAACACTCCTGGGAGTGACTTAATCCTGGTTTTTCCTGGATTATTTTTCTCCTGGAGTAGCCGTTTTCGCTGTGGGAGAAAAGTTCTGAACATATGTATACTTACAATTTCTCCTGGGAGAGCAGTGACTCTCCCAAGAGAAACTGAATGTCTGTACCTGGCATAGGAAAAAAGCAAACACAATATGGGAAGAAATGGGATCAGGAAAGTACAATGACAGAGAAAAGGATCTGATTACCCAGTGCCATGCATTTTAGGTAACCCCCAGGGTACAAGAATGAAGCATTTCAATTGATTCCCATTGTCCTATCTCTATACACACTTGAATAATTCCACAGGGCAAGCTAATGAAGAATTAGGTCCACAAGCTAAACGGAACAGAAGAGTGTTGGCAAGGGAACTGTGCAGTCAGGAAGAAGAGCAAGGAAAAAAGGAGTACATAACAGGGAGCTGTGAATAATCATTGATACAAGCTGAAGAATCAGCTGGAACAGAACAACCTGCAAAACTGGTCCCTTAACACCAGATTTTTTACAAGTGTTTAGGTGCAGAGTGATGTAGGTAGGTACCTGACATGCCACAGTGGTTAACTCCCATTGAAGTCCTCATGAAAATCCCATTAAGGGTCTATCTGTATGATTAGATGACTAAATGTGTTTAAAAAAATCAGACATTAATGCTTAGGGGCTTAGATAATGTTGATTTTGTAGAAAATGCTAACATAAATATGGCTTTTGTTTCTTAAATTTTACATCATCATAATCATCTTTGATTAATTGTTGCCTGGGAAACCTTTTGAATGTCTGTTTGCCTCTGACATTGGAAATATTTCCAGCTTTTCAGTTCACTGAGAAGTCTTACTGTGATTATGAGTCTTTGTTTGGGATTTGCTGAACATTTCTGTATGATTTATAGTTAAAAGAATGATGATTCTTCTCTCACAGTGGCTATGGGCATGTGGTGTGAAGAGAAGTCAATGAGTGATTAATGTTAAGAAAAAAGTTAGCTGAGATTCTGGGTTCTAAGGAAATGGCCATGGTCCATATCTCTGCATCAGCTTCATTAATTTAAAAAAATGCCAATAGATCAACCTTCAGCACTGTGGTCATGACAGAAATTTCGCTAGTCTGAAGCCAACAATAAGCCCCATCTTTTGATTTGCACTGCTTAATGTTCAGTGAGGATTAGATGAGTCATTAAATGTGGGCCCAGGGAAAGGGTGCAGAATGCTATTAAAATAGTTATTACCAGTGAATTTAATTTCCGAGCATTTTTAAAGATGACTTTTTCAACCCAGATTTTACTCTGTTTCATATGGAAGAACTGAAGAACAGTTATTTTGCGATATTTGTATCCCTGTTGCATTGAAAAATGGGATTTTGACAGGAACAAGGGTTGTATAATAAAATGACAGCCCAAAGGGATCAGAAGAATCCAGAAAAAAATTCTATAGGTCAAATGCAGCATAAAGGACTTAAAAGGAGAAATGTGCTTCATTTAGGACATGTTTCGATATGAAAGAATGAAGAAAACCCCTTTTATTAATGTCTTTCCTAGTAAAATATTAGCAACATTTAATTCAGGTTGATGCTAGCACTGCTAATGGCTGTAACTGTACTTCTAGTATGGTATATGTCATCATTCTCCAGCCCCCTGTATCTTAATATTCTGAGGACTAACATATATATGTATAAAAGGTGTGGGTGTGTACGCATACACACACATACACACACATACATGTATACATATATATGCATGTATGATATAACTTATGTAAATATTTTACTGGGGTGAGGTCACAAGCAATTTCACAAAGGTTGCAAGCACCTTCCTTTTCCTTACAGATAGATGAAGAATTTTTATAGGTTGTAAAATAGAGTCATGCTATAAGAGAGGCCAAGAAGCACTGCTTTATGACAGTGAGAATCATTGACTGCAAGCAGATATCGGGAGATGATGGACAGTTTACAAACGATAACAGAGAAAAAAATAAAACTAGCTAGGAACACAACCAGGACTGCGCACCACTCCAACCCCCACCCAGCCCAGTTTGCTGGAGTCAGCAATGCTCACCCCATTCTCATTAGGAAGCTGGGGGACTGTGGCGTAGACACCCATACAGTCCAATGGGTCGCCAACTGGTTAGAGAGTCGCACCCAGAGGGTGGTAGTGGATGGGTCCTTCTCGACCTGGAAGGACGTGGGAAGTGGGGTCCCACAGGGCTC